CTCGCCTCCCAAACTCTCCCTAACAGGATCCTTTGGGGTTGCTTTTGGGGTGGAGGAAGCTGGAGGTGGGGGAGAACAGAGGTCCATATTCAGAGGGAGCCGGAGGGAAGCGAGTGAAAGGATTACCTCAGTTTGACGCTGAGTGCAAATCATATTTATATATGTGCTAAATACGGTTACTCTATTGCAGTTTTCCACTAAATCACAGCATACAGAATCAAAGGTTTGCATTTTGTTATGGAATGTATCCAAAGAGGCCAGCACCACAGTAAGACAGTTTGCAATCACACACCCTGATTTGGGACGGGATAAAGTTCAGCGAAATTTTGTGGGTTTTTGTTTTTTTTGTTTTTTTTGTTTTTGTGGTCAAAGTCAGTTTTCATCGTACCAATGCATGCAAAGCATTCCACTCCCAGAAACAATGCCAAAATGAGGTAATAGGAGTAATAAAAAAAATTAGTATCCTTTCTAAATAAATAAATTATAATTAAAAATGCAAAACAACTATAAAAATAATTAAATAAGAACCCACAATATCTACAAGTTAGTCATAAATTATGATTGTTAAATATAAGGCATTTAAACTCACAAAACCCTGTAAACTAGCAACGTGCCATGTGTTTTTTTGTTTTTTGTTTTGTTTTTTTCATTTTTGTTTTTGTTTTTGTTTTTTCTATCAGCTGAAATCGCTCTAGCATTCACTCTATGCGAGGACAGGAGATGGAACGCGGGCAAAGGGGGACCTGACAGACGTTGCTACGGCGCCGCGGGGGTGGGGGACAAGGTTCCCCCACCAAAGGTGGAGAGGGAGCGAGTGGGATTTCTTTAGGAAAGAGTCTGGTGGTGCTTTTCATCACCACTGGAAAAAAAACTGTGCTTGTTCGTTAGGCATAAAGAGTTAGTAACACCTGCATGGAGTTGGGGTGCTGGGGACAGAGGAGCTGATGCCCTGCCTCAGGGGGCAGCAGGACTGGGCATTGGGCTCTGGAGGGGACGAAGAGAGGGTCCTGGTGAAGGGGAGGTGTACTGTGGACCCTGGGCCCTTCGGCCTCCGTCTGCCCTGCCTGCTGGGCTCGTTGGCATTGGTTTGACCAGAGTCCCAGAGGGGCCTGCTGCTGTGGCTGGGGCTGCTGTTGGAAAGGGGCCCCAGTTTCATTCCCAGGGCAGCTTCCAGTCACAGAAGGCACTCATGCTTCTCAGTTGAGGGTCTGAGGCCCTTGAGTTGAGCAGAAGAAGGACTGAAGATGGTCTCCTCTCTTTAAGATGTTGGCGTTGGAGCAGTATCTGTGCCTGCTTCCCCCTGACCTCCAGCTCCCCTCAGAAGTCCCTGGGGAGGGGAGGGAAAGGAAACATGGGCCCCTCTCCACTCTTCCTTCTCCAGTTATGACCGATGAACAGCTCCAGAGACCTTCCAAGTCAGGAAGCCCAAATTGACTCTCACCATTCTCCCCATATCATGGAAGGGACCCAGGGTGCTAGGGTGGGAGGACAGGTGTGAAGGAGAGCAGGCTTCTCACCTGCCTCATCTGGCCCCCCAGACAGTACCTGGGGTCTCTTGGGGAGAAGTCGGGTAATTACAGCTCAGCTGGGATTCCACAAGTGGCAGATGGTAAATTCTTCCAAGGCAGGGGCTGCCCTCTGGGTAGTCCCCACCTTGGCACCTAGAGCAGAGCTTTCTGCACCTAGGAATATATAAATGGAGCTGGAGAAAATGTAGGGAAGGAAGGAAGAGGGGAAAGGATGAGAGGAATGGTAGAAAATATTATGTTCCACTCACTCTGAATTTTTTTAGCCTCTTAAGCAGATGTTCCTACCCAACCAAAAAAATCACCTTCAACAGCTTCCTGCTATGAAGCACCTTACTAGATTGGAAAAAAGATGCCCTGGCCTTGGGGAAATCACAGAAAGTTAGAGCTGGACCAGACCTTGGAGATCAATTAGTCCAACCCCCTCATTTTGCAGATGAGGAAACTGAGGCACAGAGCAAGGAAAGAACTTACCCAAGGTCACCCAGTTAGTGTTATAGCTCAAGACTTAAAGCCAGATGTTTTAACTCAGGAACCAGTGTTCTTTCTGCTCTAACCCACTACCTCCCTTGAACCTCCCTGTCTCTTCCAACCACCCTAGAGGGTGGAACAAGGAATCAAAATAGGGAGAGAGCTCTCCACTTAAAGTTATAGAAAGGAAACTCTCATTCTGATGTCCCCATGGTTCGAGCCCCTAGATTGGGACTGGTTTGGCCTTCCTCAAGGTCCTTGCTTCTGACAAGGCAGCTGCTTATTTTCTGATTGAAGCCTTACTTCCCCACTGAAAGGACTGATAGCCTCCTGGCAGTTTTGTGAATTTTGTTTTGTTATTATTTAACTACTGGCTTCAGCACAGTTTTGCAGTGGCATTTCCTTTAACACTGCCACGTATTATAATATTCCTTAATGTGTGCATTGCCTTCTTCCCTAGACTGTAAGATCCTTAAGGGCAGGACCTGTGTTTTCCTCTTCCTCATATCCCCCGTAGCGCTTAGCACAACAGTAAACTCACAGTGAGCACTAATAATAATAGCTTGCATTTATATAGCATTTTAAGGTTTGCGAAGCACTTTACATACACTATCTCACTTTAAAAAAAAAAACAACAACTCCACAGAATCATGGACTTTTAAAGGGACTTTCTAGGTTATCCTGTCCAATCTCTCATCCAATGCAGAAATCTCCTCTAGGAAAATCCCCAGCAGATAGTAATCTGTTTGGACGCTTCCAATGACGGGAAGCTCAGTGCCTCTTGAAACAAGCCTCTTTCATGGTGGAATAATCAGAGGACTGTTAGAAAGTTCTTAGATGGAATTGAAGTCTATCCCTATAACTTCTACCCACTAAACTTAGTCTTCTGCTCTAGAGTGACAGAAAACAAACATACTCCCTCCTCCACCCAATGGTCCTTTGTGCATTTAAACACTGTGACCATGTTCTCCCCATGTCCTTTCTTGCTTATTGAAGGAAAGGGGGAGAAAAGAGTGGAAGAGGGGTAGTAGGTGGGTAGGAGGAAAGGAAATAGGAAAGGCCAAAGGAAGATAGTAAAATTCCATATGAGCTGTAATCACTCCCCCACACTCCTTTTGGTATGTCCTAATTCCTGGTGTTTCTCACCCATGAAAAAGAAAGCATGGACCAACTAATAATAATAATATTAATACTAATAAGAGTAATAGTAATAAAAGCAATTTGGTGCTAGATGGAACTTCATGGGTTCCCACCTGTCTCCCCCTCTTTCATTCTGTCTGCTCACTCCAGGCTTCAGAAAAGCTGTGGCTTTGCACAGGGTGGGGAGGTGGGGGGAACATTGGAACTTCCAAGTTTTTCCCCACCCTGAGAAGAGACCCAGGAGAGAGCAGAAATGCTATTAATCCTCACAGCATCCTGTAGAGGTAGAGGGAGTGGGGGCTGGGATAGAGATTAGTTTCTCCCCCACTTTACAGATGGGGAAACTGAGGCACAGAAAAGGGACAGTGACTTGCTCAAAGCAGGTCAAGGGAGGAGGCAGGGGTTGGGGGCCTCTTGCCCCCAGTTTCCCAGTGAAGATTCTCTCTGAGCCAGAGCCCAGTCTCTGTCTCTCCAGGTGGGACCGGAGGAAGTTCAAGTACCATCTCATGGCCTGTGACGTTCCACCCTGGCTGGCACCATAGAGAACAGGCGGCAAGCTTTGGCCCTTGCCCAGCCTCCTGGGGCATGTGAGCCTCATCATTCCTCGAGTGCCAGCCAGAGCTCTCAGAGGAGCAGCTGAGAACACTTTGGCCAAGACCAGCTACTAATTATCTATGCTATTTATTTTATTTTATGTTTTACTTACTTTTATTTATGTATTTATTTTTGCATAGGGAGGCAGCGGTTAAATCGCCTCTTTGCCAGGAGGCAAGGAGCAGCAGAGGGGAGAACACAGAGCGTAGCAGTTGGGCTCTGGGGAATGCAGCAAGCTACGATAGCTGAAGGCCAGCTTCTCTCTAGCCTATGGGGAAACAGGGGAGGGAGCCCTGAAGCCAAGCCTCGGCTTCGCTGAGGGCCACCAGGAGCTTGGGATCCTTCCCTCAGGAGGGAGCTCCCTCTCTCTCCTCCCTTCCCCCCGACCGCCCACCGTGAACCCCAGCACAACAGGTGGGAGGCTCAGGTAGGGATCCTGAGGGATCCTGTCTGTTCCCACTGGATCCTTTCCTGTCCCCATCTCTCTCCCAGATGCCCCTCCTCCTTCCACCGCTCCGTACACTGTAAACATGATCAAAGCAAAAATAAAAAACAAAACAACACCAACACAAAGAACGAGAAGCCCCTCCCACCCCACCCCCCCAGACCTGGGTGAAGAAATCATCCTTTTCACTGTAAACAGGATTTGGCTTTTTTTTTTTTAACCTTTGTACCTTTTTTTTTTTCCTTCTCTCCTAAAGATGGGAAGATTAGGGCTGTCGTTGGTCAGTTTTGTCAGGCACCAAAACAAGGGACTTGATGAGAAATATTTGGTGCAAATTCGGTAATAGCAACATGTCCACCACAAGATGACTAGAGCACCACACACAACATTTTTTTCTTAAGCTAACATGCTCCGGTTGCCATCCACAGAAATAGCTAGAGACCCCTACATGGTTTCTACGTAGTCGAGAGGTATATATACAATCCTTCGAAGGACAGGATTGAGGGGCCAGACTATCCATCCAACTAGTACCTTCGAGATCACATCTAAATCCTCAGCAGCGTGGGCCCCCCCTTCCCGCCCCCCTGGCTGGGCAATGGCCCCTCCCCCACGCATGGCACGTGGGGCGGTGACCATTCGGGCTGGGTGGGACCTCCTTCCTATCCCTTTGACGCTGATACCACCGATTCCTCTTTCCGCAAAATGTGCTTGCAGGCTTTTCCTTTAAATCAAATGGCTCAGAAGGCAAAGTTTGGCTGCAAGGGCTATGGCCGTCGGGGGACCTGGTGAAGGAAAGTGGGGCATCTGCCAGGCGGACTGTCACCTCAGCTGTCGGCACCCAGTTGTGTTTCAATGTCCACTCGGCAGATGGGGCATTTCTTGCTCATGGCGAGCCACTGGTCGACGCACAGTTGGTGGAAGAGATGCATACACGGTAAACGCCTGGAAGAGACAGGCGTGAGTTAGCTCTGGGACTGATCGGAGGAAGAGGCACACGGGGCTAGCCTAGAGCCAAGGGAGGATGTGCTATAGTCGGAGACCCTCCTGGGGGACAGATAGAAGTTCATCCAAAAAAACAAAAACCACTTAGCAACTCTCCGTGGAAGCTAAGAAGGCTCAAGGTGGGCAGCTTGTTTCGGTTTTATCCTCGTCTTCCCAGAGCTTAGAACAGTGCCTTGCACGTAGCAGTTAGTAAACAAATGCTTGCTGAATTAAAGAGAAGATAGAAAGACCCTTGAGTTCGGAAACCCACCTCCTCCAGGATGGTTCTCCCCAGACTGACTGAATGGGAGGGGAAGTCTTTGTGCCAAGCTCACCAACTATCAAATTGCTCTCCCCCATTACACCTCCCCAAATGTGTGTATGTGTGTGTGCAGGAATGCACACTCGTGTGTACACACAGACTAGCTGAGTAAGAGATTTCTCCTAGTGACATGTACCACCTTTGATGACTAGCAGTCCTAAGAGTGGAGATCAGGGACCAAAGTGGTTCCCGACATACCTCACATCTTCTCCATCTTCAAGCATAGACAGACAAATCGTGCATTTTTCATCCGTGTCTGATTCCTCCCCATCTTCCTTCTTGCCTTTGCCTTCTTGGGGTCTTCGCTGTAAGAAAAAAACAGACAATATTAATTACCCAAGAGCAGGCCCAGTGGCTCTTGTGTTTTTTAAGTGAATTCCTTCCCTCCTCACCCACATTCCTTCCCTTGGATCAGGTGCGGTGTTCCCAGGAGCCTCCCACTCTATTCCCCTGGTTTCTTCTCTTATTTCCCTCCATGAATGCTACACGGCAAGGCCCAAAGAGTTTCCTCCAGTGAGACTCCAGCCCCTTTTAAGCCCTTCCTCAAAATGAGTTTCTTCTCCCAAAGTCTTCACCAGGCCTCTTACTTGGCCTGGAAGGAATTGAAGCCAAATGACTTCCTTCTGGGGCCCATATTGTTCTCAGCCCCACTTTTCCTTCCTCAATTTTAGAGTTGACCCAAATTAGCAGTGCTTAGCATAGTGCCTGGCACATAGTAGGTGCTTCATTGATCGGTGAGCAGAATATCATTTGGAGGAAGCTTTCACTGCTTCTCCAGAGAAGACTTAGTAGATAGTTCAGGCCAGGTGAGTGAGAGGATAACTTCATTTATTGTGGTCCCTAAGGCAGCTTTTGGGATAAGAGAGGTTAGAAAATCAGGAGCATTGGTGAATCATTTCTGGAGTTGTGGCTTATACATTATTATAAAGCTCTCTTAAATTGACCCTTTCTTTTTCATTTCCATTGACAACACCCTCATCACTTCACACTTGAATTGCTACAACAGCCTCTAAACTTGTTAATCAATTAATCCTTGTTCATCAAGCATGGGACCTGGGAAAGACTTTACTTTAGAAAGGCCAAGATCCCCCACTGCACCCTGGACCATCACCAGTCATCTTGACTTTTGTCTTGCCACTGGATTCTGATGACTCCAGAGGAGAGAAGTGAAGCTGATGACTTCCAGTAGCTCTGCCTCACTTAAATCCAATTCTCATGCAAGTCAAGACATCACCCATGATGTCATTGGTCCTCAATGAAGGATGAACAACAACAACATAGGAGACTGGGCCTAGAACTAGAAAGGACCTTAGATGTCATCTAGTCCAACTCCATGAGGAAACCAAAGCCCAAGGAGGTTGAGTAATTTGCCCAAGATTCCATAGGTGATAATAAGTACCAGAGCCAGAATTTGAACTCAGGACATCTGACTCCAGAGCCAGGGCTCTCTGCACTCTATCACTGCCTCATTCTCCCCATTAGGTTGTGAGCGCTTTGAGGGACAGAGCCTATCTTTTGCTTCTTTTTGTATCCCCAGCACTTAGCACAGTCCCTGGCACATAATAGGTGCTTAATAAATGTTTATTGAATGAATAAATGAACTTTTCTCTCATAACCATCATATATATACATATATATACATAACCATCATATATATGCATATATACACACATATATATGCATATATATACACACACACATATATTTACTCCAGGAAGGCTGGTCTCTTCACCATTTCCCAAACATACTCGTTTCATGTTTTATGACCCTTGTTTATGCTGCTCTCCCAACCTATATAATCCTCTTTCCCCATCCCTACCCCAGACTTCACTATGATTTCTAAATTCTGTCCATCCTTCAAGACCCACTTAAAGGCAACCTCCTCCTGCAGCCTTTTGTGAATACTCCATACTTGATTTGATATTCCCTCCTCTGAATTCCTCGAGCACGTATAGTTCTTAGCCCATTGTCTGGCACATAATTGTATGTTGCTCTCTATTATCGTCTCATTTTTTCACTTGTGTTGGTCTTGCTTCCCAGCTATCAGGGCCCTGAAGACAGGGATTGTCATAAGCTCATAGGATCCAGAACTGGAAGGGACCTTCCAGTCCAATCCTTTATTTCACAGATGAGGAAGCTGAGGCCAAGATACATTAAGTGACTTGGCCAAGGCCACACAGGTAGTAAGGAGCAGAGTAGAGCTTGTCCCCAGACCCTTCGACTCCAAAGCCAATGTTCTTTTCTACGGGTCATCTTCTCCATTTCGAATGTAAGCATTTTGAGAACAGGGCCTGTCTCATTGTTCCATTTGTATTCCTAGTGCTTAGCACAATCCTTGGCATGTAATTAAGACTTAATGAATGCTTTTCCATTCCATTTTCACTATTTCTCATTATATTTCTTTTCTTCCTCCAGCAGCTCTAAGCACAGAAGACTCAATATATTTTGTTGGACGTTAATTATTTGTAAATTAGCAGCACCTTAATGGGTTGGATCTGAGATCCTAAAGAACAGGGACCCTTTCTTATTCATCTTAGTATCCCCCATTGTGCCTAATACAGGGTTGAGAGACAACATTGATCGTAAACAAATATTTAATGATTGAATGAAAGATAGTAAGTTTCTATCACACTTTAAAATCTAGAAAGTTGTTCCCCAAAACAATCTTGTGAGCTCAAGAATCACAAGATCATAGATTTTGATCAGGAAGTGACCTCAGAGTCTTTCTAGTCTAAACCTCTCATTTATCAGATGAGGATTAAATGTTAAGAAGTTACATGTCTTGACTGAGGTCACAAAGCTAATGTCTGAAATGGGAATCCTATCAGAGCTCCAGAAGGTTTGGCCCATCCAAGGTGACTCAGCTAGTAAGTGGCAGCGCTGAGACTTGAACTCAGGACTTAGCTGTTAAATTACACAATGTGGTTGAATTTGATCAGCCCAACTCTCAAGTGAGGTACACTGATTGAACCACCAGATCCCAAAAGGAGCCAATAATCCCAAAATAATGGGCCAACATCAGCCTGGAGAAAGGTCTGTGATGAAGTGGCTCAGCATTTATCCTTGATCCTGTTCTGTTCAGCACTGTTCTCAGTGATTTGAGGAAAGCATAGTTGCCTTGCTTAGTAAATAGGCAGAAGACACAAAGCTCAGAAGGATAGCTAAGGATGATTGGATCCACAGCGGTCCCAACATCCTAGAGCAATGTGCCAAACCTAATGAGATGGATTTCAACAAGGATAAATAATAATAAAATGCTTTTAGGTTCACAACCTGTGTTTTTGCTACAACTACTCTATGTAATAGGTACAAGTATTATTATTTCTATTTTACAAATGAGGAATCTGATGTTTAGAAATTTTCACGGATTGAAAAAATATCAGCTACACAAATACAGCATTGGGGAGATGTGGCTTAAAATGGTTCATGTAAAAAAAGATGTAGGGATTTTAGTGGACTTTTAGTTCAATGGGAATGAACAGGACAACATGGCAACACGTTAATTTAACAAGTTAAAGTGACATTAGGCTGTAATGAGAGAGAGGGGAGGAGGAGGAGGAGGAGGAGAGAGGGGGAGAGAGAGACAGAGAGAGAGATGGATGAAGATAGTTGATAGTTGATACAGGTGATAGGTAGATAGAAATATAGAGAGGTAGGTAGAAGATAGAGATATGTGACTGATAGATGACAAATAAATAGATACATAGGTAGGTAGACAGGTAGATGTTTAATTAAGCACTCACTATAGAAGTATAGTATATGACATAAGGGAGGTTCTATTCCTACTGTACTTGGCACTGGTCAAACCATGCCTATGTTTGTTGTTCTGAGTGTCACATTTTAGGAAGGATACTGACACATTTCCAGAGGAGTTCAGTTTGAATTGTGACTAGAGACTATACCATATGAAAATGGGTTAAAGGAATTGGGACCATTTAGCCTAGAGAAAAGAAAAATTAGGAGTATGACAGTTGTCTTCAAGTATATGAAGGACCACCAGATAGAAGAGCGATTAGGTTTATTTTACTTGACCCTAAAAGGGAGAACTAAGAACAAAGGGTAGAAGTTTCAGAAAAGCAGATTTCAGATCCATAAAATGAAAAACTTCCTAAAATTTTCCAAAAGCAGAATTGGTTGCCTCAAAATGTAGTGAGCTCACCGTTAGTGGAAGTCATCAAGTGCAGACTAATTATTTATTCCCTGGGCATGCTGCAGAGAAGATTCTTTCTTCATACCCCGGCTTATCTTAATCACCTCTGAGGCCCCTTCCAACTCTAAGATTCTATAAACTCAGTTGTCCTTTCCCCATCTCCACATGAATGCTGTTCAGAGTAGAAAATATTCCAATTTTCTATCTTATTTAGAGATATTGAGGCTTTTAACAGAAAGCTGCTAATTGCCAATCAAGGGCAATTAAACAAGCTAGACTCATCTCTGGGAAGACCTCCATAATAAATAAAGTCTCCCTCAGGAGCCCCCTGCAACTGAACACCCATTTCTTCAGGAGAGGTAGCCACAAGAGCTACAATAAGAACAAGGGGAACTTGGAGGCAGGAGGAAATGCTCACCTGTGTCAGGAGATTGGAGAGCAGAAGAGTATGACATAAAAGAAGGGAAGAAGGATCCCTGCACTGAAATAATAGGTGCTTACTGAAAATGGGAGATAAAAGAAGTTGCATCATCTAAAGCAGATACAGGTATGGGGGTGTGTGTGTGTGTGTGTGTGTGTGTGTGTGTGTGTGTGTGTGTGTGTGTGTGTGTGTGTGTGTGTGAGAGAGAGAGAGAGAGAGAGAGAGAGGAGGGAGAGAATTCACAGTAAGGACCTAAGGACTAGTAATGATAGTTTGTGACTCCCTGCGGAAGAGGATTTATTGAGGTTACATTTATAATAGAAAGGTCTGCTGACTTCCCAGAGCATGGATATAGGACCTAAAGGGGAGCCTCCCAAAACCTGGTGACCACTACCCCACTTCTGATGATTCATGTGGGAACAAATGATATTGCCAGAAGGAATCTATAGATTATGAAGTTTGGGCCAGGAACTAAAGAGCTTAGAAATGCAAGTATTGTTTTTATCATTGCTTCTAATTGTAAGAAGGAGAGAAAGATGGGTGTAGGAAGTAGCAATTTCTGGGTAAGATGATGTCTGAGAACAGGATTTGGTTTCCAAACCATGGTATAAAATACAGGCAGGTTAAGATGCTGGCCAGGGATTGGAATACACCTAACAAAGACTTGTAAGAATATATTTTCTCGTAGCCTTAAACATCAACCAAGAAGGCTTTAAACTGAAAAGAAAGGAGTAAGAAAACTGCCTATGTAGCTCTGCAAAGTTAGATACCTTAAGCAGGGCATCTTAACTTAGGGTCTACAGACCCCTTTAAAGAATAGATTCTGGGGGGGGTCCATGAACTTGAATTGGGAAAATGTTTCTTTATTTCTGTATAAATGGTTTCTTTTGTAATCTTAGGGCTTCTACTTTATGCAGTTAAAAACCCTATTCTGAGAAGGGGTCCGTCGGCTTCACCAGACTGCCAAAGGGGTCCAGGGCACCAAAAAAAGGTTAAGAGAGGAGTTGAAGAGTGTAGCAGTCACGATGTAAGAAGAAAATAGTCACAGAGATGCTAAATAATTCAGAATGGCCAAAATATATTAAAGGATCCAGAGATAAAAACTCATGTTCTCAAATGTCCACACACAAATGCACAAAGCATGGGCATTAGGCAAGGAGAACTAGACTTCCTAAAGCAAGGAGGCATAGTATCCAAAGCATGAAATGTGATAGCTCTCCCCTGCTCTGCCCTAGCATCTAGAGTACTCAGTTATTGGTACCACATTTTGGGGAGGATATTAATAATTAGAGACCATCCCATAAAAGAATTAGTTGAAGAAACTAGAGGCATAATTTTGTTGTTGTTGTTGTCATCTTCAAATTTCAGTTGTGTCTGACTCATGACCCCATTTGGGGTTTTCTTGGCAAAGATGCTGGAGTGATTTGCCATTTCCTTCTCCAGCTCATTTTATAGAAGAAAAAACTGAGGCCAATGGGGTTAAGTCACTTTCCCAGGTACATACAACTATTAAGTGTCTGAGTCTTCCTGATTCTAAGCCCAGTGCTCTAAAGTAAACCTAAAGAGGTAGAGATTGAAGGTCACCCCAAGAATAAGCCTTGGAGCCAGGATCAGAGCTAGCTCTTCCAGCTAAAGCTTAGCTAGTCTAACTTCATTCAGTCTAGGACACAGCAGTCACCTGATGGGAAACTGCCTTGCCTTCCCTTGTCCAGGCCAGCTAGGTGTCCTCACATAGAAAACAAATGCCTGCTTCTCCACAATTCAAACAACCACACTCTGTGAGTAGGTTATTTAACTTCAATCTCTCCAAATTTAACCAAGGATGACCAATGTGAAGTATTGTTATACACATTTGTACATTTATACATACCCATCTTCATAAGGACATGCATATCTACTTAAATAGTCTTAGTTCTGAAGCTCCACCTTCTGCCAGGAGGGCTTTCCTGATCCGCTTAGCTGTTTGGGCTTTCCTCTCGAAGGTTATCATCAGTGAACTCTGAATGTGTCTTGTATAAACATATTTATTTTCATGTTGTAAGTAGAATGTAAGCTCCTTGAGGACAGGAACTGTGTTTGCTTTTCCTTTGTTTCCCCAGCATTAAGCATAGGGCCTTAAGTAAGCACTTAAGAAATACTTGTTGATTGGTTTATTGTTTATTATGGTCACTATTTGATGTAGTACTGAGGCCAAAATATTTGTCACCAAGAGGCTGACCTTCTGGTAATGAGCTTCTCTGCTCCTGATTCTCGGACAATAGACACAGTCTGTCACCTGAAGCCTTTCCAGCTTAGTGAATCTGCCAATGCTTGAGTTTTCCTGTCACAGCCATCAAGACCCCAGAAATATTCAGGCAAACACACCCTTGCCCTCATGTTTCTACAAGGGTCACCACCCTCTCTATCATCTCCATCAGACAATGAGTAAGGGCAATAAAGGTACCCTGTCCTCCCAGCTGATGAGTGGGGCCCCAGACTTTGGTTGCTTCTGCTATGTCTCACTAAGCGCGAGCTGGATCCAGCCCCACAGCCACTGCCATAGTAAACAGTCTTAAGAACCATCCTGCCCAGTTGATGTGTGGGAGAAGTCACTCACCTTCTTGTACTTGTGGGGGAAGGTGAACCTCTCAATGGTATTCTGTACAGCTCCTCGGCTCACACTGCCCAGTCTGTCCTCCAGCTGAAGTAGCTCCTGCAACAGAAACACACACACACATGCTCGCGTACACACATACACACAGTGAGCTGCTTGGTGGGACTATAATAAACATGCAGAAGAGACAACAGAAGAACGAACAGTTCTTGATTTGGATATCTGATTTGGATAAAATGCAATAAAAAAGATTCCCTTTTCTCTATATTTCTCCCCCTCCCCCTTTTTTTCCTTCTATCAATTAATCAACAAAAATTTATTAAGAACCTACTATGTGCCAGGTTCTGTGTTAGGTGCTGGAGATACAGATACAAAAAAAAAAAAAAAGAAGAAGAAAGAAAGAAAGAAAATAAGCCCTGCTCAGAAGAAACATTCTAGTAGAAGAGGCAACAAGTACATATATAAGTTACATATATATTACATACATATGCATACATATATTACACATATAACATATACATATACATAGCATCAATATAAAGAAAATAAACACAAGGCAGTTTAGGGAAAGGAAGAACTCCTAGCTAGAAGGATCCAGAAAGGTTTGTTGGAAAAGGTGACAGCTGATGCCTCAGCTGCATCTTAAGGGAGAGAGAGACTCTGAGGCAGAAGTAAAGAGGCAGTGGATTCCAGCCATGGAGGACAGCCAATACACAAGGCATAGAGACAAGAGATGGAGCGTCATGTGTGAGGGAAAGAAAAAAGGTCAGTTTGGCTGGGTTGCATACTAAGTACAAGATGGGGAACAGTCTAATTAGATTGGAAAGAAAGATTAGGGTCAAGTTGGGTATATATATTTTTAAAAACCAAAATAGAGGAATATATTTAAAATATATGTATTTATTATAAAATATATTTATATTTAACATTTTATATATTTTATTATAAAACCTATAGGTTTTATATATGTTATTATAAAATCTATATATTTTATATTTCATTATAAATATATTTTATTATAAAATCTACAGTTTTATGAAACATTTTTATATGTAAAAATAAAGATACAATTTAGCATATATATAATGTATAGATTTTGTAAATGTAATAGATTTTGTCATAAAATATATAGATTTTATATATTTTATCATAATATATAGATTTTATACATTTTATCAAAAATAGATTTTTTATATTTTATCATAAAATAGATTTTATAATAAATATATATTTTATATATTCTTATAAAATACATAGATTATATATAATATGTTGTGAAATATATAATACATTAAAATAAGATATATATTAAAGGCAAAATAGAGAATTCTATATAATATACTGTGGAGTCTATATTATGTATTATGATAAAATATATATTTAAAGGCAAAATAAAGAATAAGGATTTTATTCTTGAGGAGATAGGAAGCCGCCATAGGTTTTGTTACATTCTGACCTCAACGTTTAGACCGGGTGACCTGCCAGGATCTAGCCTGGTCTCAGAGTTCCTTGGTGGGTCACTGAGCTAGAGAGAACATACCTCGTAGCTTTCCCTCACGGCAGATGTATGTCTGTTTGGATTCAGTCCCTGAAGAGCAAGGAAGTGAAGCTGGGGATAAGGGTAATTTCTGATTTCATGGACGACCTGTGCCAGAGAAAATGCCATGAATATAAAAAAAGGGACTCGGGTCTCTACAACAGACCTAATTTCTGTACCTTCCCCCGCCCTCTAGCCCCTGGCTTTCAAGAATGTATAGTACTTCCTATCAGGTCAAACCCAAACTCCTCTGCGAGGCCTCCAAAGCCCTCCAAAACCTGGCTTCAATCTACTTATTCAGTCTTATTCCCCCCTCCTAACACACCTAATCCAGTTGGATCCTCTCATTGTCCCTAGAAAGATCATACTGCTCCCCAACTAGCAGAGAGGGCCTTCCTCTCTCCCTTTGGCATGTTCAAATCCTTCTCTTCTTCCCCCATCAAGGGCCAACTTGTGCCTCACCTGGTCCATGATCCCTTCCCTGGATACCCCAGCACACACTGGTCCCTTCCTCTAAATTACAAGGACCCTTGGCATCTACACCATACAATCCAGCTTTTGACTCTATACTATCTCATTTAGTGCTCCCGATGTTTTATGTGTGCATACATTGTCCCTTCAATAAGACTACAAACTTCTTGGAATTGCTAGAGACCTCTCTTTTGTCTTTCCTATGTAGTATTAATAACAACTCACATTTACCTAGCTCTTTCAGGCTTACAAAGCCAATACTGTTATGCCTATTCTAGAATCTCAGAGAGATGCAATCACCTACTCGGGTTCATACAGTCTCAGAGCCAGACCCTGAATTCAGGTCATCAGACTCTAAAACCAGTGCTCCTTCCATGACATCACACTTCCTTTTCCTCACTCACCAAGGGCCAGCCCCAGAGACATGAATAAATGAATTCCTTTCAGTCTTAAAGAGTACTTTCAAATATTTGCAAAGGACTCACATCTTTACCCTTTCTTCTCTGGGTAAGCGGGGCAGTTACCATTATTCCCATTTTAGAGATGGAGAAAACCGAGACCAAGAGGAGTCTTGGGAAAATAATACAGTGAATTAGCCTAGGGAATCAGGACTAGAACTCAACTTGCCTGTTTGTCTCTCTAACTAGAAGCTTTTTCAGCAGACCATATTACAACATCTGCTTCTCCACCCGCTGCTTTCCCCTTCCAAACTGTCTTGTTTTGCCCAGTGTGGCCTCATTGTTAGGTTGGTTCCTTCTCCTTGATGGGAGTTAGGGAGAGGGAAAAGGGAAGGGAGGTACTCCTAGAGGGACAAGTGGTCGACTTGTAATTTTGATGAGCTCCTGGCAGGCACCACAGGAAAGCGTTTTCCCGGCAGAGCCCTTTCACTTACCATCTGCGTGGAGGAAGAGTTTCTGGGAAAGTGGTGCATTCGAGGCGTCGCTAGGTAATGCTGATAGTGCTGAGGGATGGGCCGAACCTGGAACTGAGCGTGGCTTAAACCAGCATCCACACTGAGATCCCTGTAAGGGTAGCAATGGGGAATGGTGATCCATCCACAATGAGCAACTTCACTTTGGGGGACTCAGAGACACATCCCTACAGAAGCATACACACACTCGATTCCCACATTCCCTGCAAACCCACAGGGTTGGTTCACTCTATCTACTGAGTTACACTCTAACTCTTGATGCCCTAAAGGGGACAATCAATCAACAAGCATTTATTAAACACCTACTGTGTGTCAGGTACTGTGATGGAGATACAAGTACAAAGAATGAAACAATATCTACCTGCAATGAGCTTACATTCTAATGGAGGCAATAACAAGTACACACATGTATACATATATACGGTATAAATAGAAAATTAATAAATACAAATATATACAAAGTAATTAAACACAAGTAGTTTGGGAGAGGAGGGGCTTGTAATAGGCAGGGACCAGGAAAGTTTTCAAGAAGATGGTGCTTGGGTTGTATCATACGGAAAGAAAGGGACCCTGCAAGGTAGACATAAGAAGGGAGGGCATTCTAGGCATGGGGACCAATGCAAAGGTTCAGAAATGGATTGTTGCATGTGAGGAGCAGAGAGAAAGTCAGTTAGATTATATCACAGGGTGTAGGAGGGGTCATAATATCCAATAAGGCTTGAAAGATAGGTTGGGGCAAGGTGGTATAGGGCTTTAAAAGCTAAATGGAGATAAAGTACATTCTTCCACCAAGGGTTGGTCTATTTTTTTGTTGTGGGGCAGAGGGTTAAATGGGGAAGGAACAAGGAGAAGGGTAAAACTGTCTTCTATGGGTATTAGGGGAGATCTGGGACCTCTCATCTGTTTTTCCTATATAATCGTAATATAATAATAATTCACATTTTTATAGCTCCTTAAGACTTACAAAGCAAATATTATTACCCTCATTTTAAAGAAGAGGGAACAGAGTCTCAGAAAGATGCAGTCACCTGCTTGGGTTCATACAGATAATATCAGAGCCAAACCTTGAATTCAGGTTTTCAGACTCTAAGATCAGTGCTCTTTCCACTACACTACACTCCCCTTTCCCACTCACCAAGGACCAGTCTAGTTTCCAGCCCAGCCCCAGAAACAAGAACAAGTGAATTTCTTTCATTCTTAGAGAATACTTTCAAATACTTCCAAAGTACTTACATCTTTACCCTATCTTCTCTGGGTAAGAGGGCGGTTACCATTATTCCCATTTTAAAGAGAGAGAAAACTAAGACCTAGAGAGGTTGTGACCTTGTTGAAAAAAATCATTCTGTGAGTGAGCCTAGGGAATGAGGACTGGAACTCAACTTGCCTACTTTTGTCTCAAACTAGAGCCCTTTCCAAAAGACCATAGTACATCATCTGCTCTCCTTTATATGTTGGACTGGTACACCTCTTTTGGAGCTATACACATGCTCTAGTCTTTTGGGGATGGTTATATGCCTTTCTGGATGTCCAAAGGAGAGGGAACACTAGAAAAAGTTTCTAAAGCTGATCAATGGAACTTTGCTTTTATAGGCTTTAGAGGAGGAAGGCCCTTGCAGTCAGAGTTCATCCCCCTGAGCCTCAGGCAACCAATCATTGGAAGACAATGACTGGCTCCAGTCCCTGGGAGCCAGTAAGATGAGCTCACCATGTCACTCAGTGTCAAGAACGAGCCAGTGCACATGCCCAGCTCCATTGGAAGTATCCTGATCCAGCAAACCAGGGAGTCTCCTGATTCCCCATGCTGCATATGTAAGTGCCTGGCCCCCTCTTTCACCTTTACTTCCACCTTTATAACTCATATTGATTTGACTTAATCATAGAAGTAGTCTTAGAAGTCATCTAGTCCAATGTCTTCACTCTGCAGAGATGAAAACAGAACTTCAGGGCTGGAAAGTGACTAGCTTAAGGTCCTACATCTCATGAGTGACATAGCCAGGTTTCCCAGTTCACAATTAAGTCTTCAATCCATTGCACCAAGGTGCACCTCCAACAGTGACCCTTGTAAGCTATGATGAAGAATGAGGTATGTCTGCAGCGAAGAGGTGCATTTGCACTGAGATACCTACAGCCTCCTCCTGCTTGCTCAGTTTTGTTAAGCAAAGTTACTCCTGCTAGACATGGTCAGCTGGAGCTCAAGGTATATCTGTTGCTACACAGTAGAGAAAAGCTACCTAAGCTTCACTGTGACCAGACCTCCTAAACATGGTGTCATTAGCACCTCTTGCTATAGACGTCACAAAGCTGACTGGACAATAGAGAAGGAGATGAAGTCCAGTGGTTGGCTCAGCATCCAGGCTGGCACTCAGTCTCCATAGTCACTCTTCTCTCCATTGATTTCTAGTCAGTCACACTTCAGGTTTGATGATCTCATCAATCATGATATCATCATGTCAATCAACGATTGAAGCATTCTCCCAGTCCTACCTCTACTGCCAAGGCTTATTTTGGAAAGAAAAAAAGGGATAGTCTCATACAAAGACATTGAGGTAAGCCTCACCTTCCATTCTCATGCCTTCCTTGGCCCCTTCCCAGACCCCAGTTCTGAAAGATGTGCCTGCCCAAGGTTCAGGGACATTTATCAAGCACAGCAGAGTGGAAAGCACACTGGATTTGAGGTTGGGAAACTTGGGATCAAATCCCAGTTTTGCTACCTATATGATATCAGATAACTCACTTAACCTCTCTGGATCTCAGTTTCGTCATTGGTAAAATGAAGACACAGAACCTAATGGCTGAATTACCCTGTGTCAGTGGGTTTATAAGAAAATCTCCTCTTCCTGTCTGGCACAGTGATATCACCATAGAATGAGGCCCAGAAAGGTGAGCTGACTTGAAGTACACATAACTACTAAATATCTGATGCAGAATTTGAACCTAGGTCCTTTGCACACCTCCCCCTGTACCCACACACTGTAAGTATACAATATCTTGAGCCTCCTTCTTTGTCCTTTCAAATACTACTCTCAGAAGTTATTCTGGTATCATTTCATATCATAGAATATAAGGATGGAAGGAACCTTAGAAATAATCTAGTCAATCTCATTTGTCAGATGAGGAAACTTGAGACCTAGACAGGGAAAATGACTTGTCCATTGTCACCCAGGTAGGTAGTAGATGGTAAGTCTGGGATTTGAACTCAAGTCTTCTGACTCCAAATCCATTGTTTTTTCTAGTATACCACTGTGCTTTCCCCCTTAGAGTGAATGAAAATTGCAGTCTCCTCCTTTCTTTCCAGCTCCTATGGAGAGGTATGCATACCCTACCTCTCCACTGCCAGGCGCAGGTAACAACCTCAGTTCCTTAAGAGATGAAGCAGGTTTACTTTTTAAATCTAATCTCTAATTGGGATGAAAAGCAATATCCCCTGGCAATGGAATTTCAGGCATCCATGAGTCAATTGGGGGGGGGGGGGCATGGCGCAGGATTTTCTCATGACCCCCCCAATTCCGAAATCACACAAAAGAACCTGGTGCCTATGAGACCAGACGAACAAGACGCAAAGTATTTGCTTCCAACAAATATGTCCCGCGTTCCACATCCTCTGTACCCTAACCTAGGAAAAACAAAGCACCACAGCTGGGATTAGGGACTATAATGTCTGGGGCAGGTACCACAAAGTAATCAGTCAGATACTCAACACACACACACACACACACATTGAACATGCCAGAACAAAAGCAGAACCAGTCCTGCTCTCAAGGAGCTTCTATTCTTCTTGTGTGTGCTTTTTTAAATGATATTTTATTCCCTGCATCCCCCCCCCCAATTACGTATTAAAACAGTTTTTAACATTTGGGTTTTTTTTTTTTTAGTTTTGAGTTCCAAATCCTATCCCTCCCTCTTTCCCTCCTCTGTCCCCTCCCTGAGACAGTAAGCAATCCAATGTAGATTATATATACGCAATCATGTAAAACATTTTGTTTTGTACAAGAAGATTTGAACAAAAAGGAAGGAAGGAAGGAAGGAAAGAAGGAAGGAAGGAAGGAAGGAAGGAAGGAAGGAAGGAAGGAAGGAA